CAGCCGTACATTCCTGCGATACTATTATCTTTAGAACGGACCGGAAGTCGCACCATACTCCATGTGTAGGCACGAGTTGTCCACGAGTACGTTTGTTCCTGGCTCGACGATATGCGAATTACCATATAAATAATAAAAGATGATTTGTATACTATTGTAGTCATATCTTTATAATTCGGAAAGCTCTGCTCAAATTATTATTTTCTTCGTTTCTCTTTCGTCTCTTCCTATGAAAATTTCTATAATGTACTATAAATAAACTTATTTTAATCTTTATTATTTATTATCTGTTTAGGTATATTATTTTATCTTTTCATCTTGTAATTAGAGATAAATCGAAATTCTTAAAATTTAGGATATTTTCTATGAAATTTAATCTTTTCTTTGACTACTTTCAAAATATTAATCTGAGCATAAAGTTTTTCTATATCGAATTTTAATTGTTTTTCATATTCGAAGATTTTAAAATAATATCTTTATAAGTCGAAAATTTTTAACTCTTTTCGTAAGATTCGATTTATCGACATTAAACTGTAAAAAACATTGGAAAAACAAGTGTAAACGGAAAAAAAATAATTAACTTGATCAATGGTTTAATACTTGCTTTACGTAATACGATTAATGACCGATCTGATTTATTATTATAGTCCACTATACGATTATACGTCCACTGGTACGATTATTTTTGATATCATGAAATTTTGGTATTTCCTTCTTTTTATTTCGATGAAACAATGTTTTACACTTTTATCAAAAGAGAAAGATTTTTTTTGGAACTTAATACTCTAATCACAATGTGTATATCGTAAGAAGCTACATGATTTAAGTGAATTATTTCTCATAGAATTTTAATTTTGTAAATAATATTTAAAACAATTTCATGTATTCTTTAACGATTAATTTTCGATTTAATATGCTTTAATTTTGTAATAATGGATGGTATTATAATTTTTACATTATATTAACAGTCTATAATATTTAGAAAAAATATAGATTGTTAATATTAAAATATTAAAAATTCTTTTCACTTTATAAATATCATAATAAGTATTTTACTATTATTATTACTAGATATTTTATATATATGTATTTATTATGTATATATATATTTTTTTTTTTGTAAAAATATTTCAAAAATGCATAAAAATATGTAGTTTCAATGCTTTTCAAGATCACTTAATATAAATTAAAAAAGATATCAAGAAAATAAGAAATAATCGCGTATGAATTATATGTATTATTAATCTCACAGACACAAATCGATTAAATGCATAACGTATTATTTTTAAATAAAACAAAATAATATTTACAAACGAATATTACATTTTATGAAATAATGCGCATGTGAAATATTATTCTTTACCTTTGCACGTTAGGCATTTACATTGTACAATCGATGTACAAAATAGCCTACGACTGTCATTTACATTATAATCATATGACAAATCACTGGACGTAAGTAGTTCACTTTTATGTCATAAATGATCAAGGTTTCGTGAAACTTTTATGCTTTGAATATCAACTTTTCAATAAAGGGTTAAATTTAGTAATTGATGTCACTTGTACAACTCGATTCGCTAACTGAAATATCGATTTCAATCAATAACGCATAAATATAATTTTCTTGACAACGTCGTAAAAAAATAAAAATAAAATAAATAATAAGAAAACGAAGGATAATCAAAATTCTTTTTACAACACAATTGAGGAATTCCTTTTGAAGAATGAAGTTTTTGGAAATGAAATTTTAATTAATGTCTAATTAAATGAACTTCTCCCGATTGATTCCACTTATCTGAACTTCTATTATTAAGCCATTTCATAAAGAACATCATTTTAAAAGTTCAGTTTTAATAGAAAAATAATATTTATGGTTATTTGCATAATTTTATTTCTCTTTATCATCAAGATTGTTACATAAAAATTATAAACCTAATAGTTTTTAAATTATCATATTTATTATTTTTGATTCTGAATCTCTCCTATATCACCTAACAAGAAAAATAATAATAGAGATAATATTAATAGTTGATTTTTTCTTAATAAAAAAATTTATTGTATCGTTCCTGATAATTAGCAAATAATATTCTGAAATGTTTTTGTAATCAGTAAAAGGAAAGAATAGATCAAAATCTTATGATTTTTCTGGAATTGCTCTTATATCAAGTGGATTTCTTGGCGGTAATTGAAAAAAAAATTGGAGAAATGAGTTTATGAAATGTCTGATAACACGGTGGTATTCAACGCAGAATTCTCTGTACTTCTTTCTGAAAATATAAAGTAAGCCATATCTTGAAAAAAATTATATTTAATTAGCTTAAAGAATAGGCACTAAACAATTATATTAATTATAACAAGTAATAATTATCATTAGACGAAAAAGCAGTTAATATTTATTTCAAAATTTATTTTTTATTTTAAAAAAATTGTATTACGCATTTGTTAACTAATACAAAGAAAATTTTTTAAATAATAAACAAGAAAAATTCGATACAATTCATTATCAATATATGATATTACTTTTCTACGGAAACTAGATTTGTAATATTTGACGTTATTTATGATATGATGAACTTATTATTTCTCTCTTCAGATAAAATGGAATTCTACTGTATTTAATTGCGATCTGTTAGCGTATCTGTTAAAAAAGTATGAAGCAACTTATCAGTTGTATAATCTGAAAAAAATTTCTTTTTAATCTAACAAAAGTTTCAATACGTGTCTGATTAATAATTCTTCATTGAGTCGATCACCCTTTTATCGCGTATCTCTTCATCATACCTTCGCTCTCATATTACTACTACGATTAATAAAACAATCGTGGCCGAACCGTGTTTCTACCGTGGTGACGATATCGGCTGGAAAAGCAGGTGTTTCGAAAGACAGAGAGATAGGGATGCGCAACAATAGCGTAGAAAACGAATAGACGGACAATTGTCACGGAGGATCCCCGCCTTTCTACCTGTCACGGCGTTAGTACTATATAACCAGCGTATATCTGATTTATGCCCAAACTAACCAAGGACGCACCCCAACCACTCTTCGGTCTTGCGTTCCATTGTGGCGAGGTGCCTCGTGGACCAGCCGACAGGCCACGTATACAATATTCGCGCGACGATTTGCCTCCTTTCATTCAGACCATTCACCATAGAAGAGAAGAAAAGAAAACCGAAAAAAAAGAAAGAGAGAGAGGAGAGAAGGACAGGAGGAAGAGTAACGAAAAAAAAGAAGAGAGAGAGAGAGAACAGAGGGAACACAGGTATCGGTTACAAGTTGTTAAGGCCCGTTAAAAGGAAAGCTCCTCGGGGGCCTTGCGAGTGAACGGCGGAATCCGCGGGTGGTATACTCCTGACAGTGATGGCCGAGGTATCATCCACTGTTTTCTTTTTCACGCGTAATTCGTGTAGTCGATACGACGCTAGCTTTCAAAGCGGGTAAAACCCTCGTCTCGATTCCACTCCTAAAGTCAGGAAACTAATACCCGGGGGTCTACAATACGGCCTGGGATCTATGGTATACCGTACTTGAACTTGAATGGCACCTGTACGTTTCCGGAACGGACACCGGGAAAAGTATCGGTTGCAACCTCGACATTTTCTGGGGATAATATATTTCAATGCTCTGATGCCATTTCTTTATGAAGTCGTAATACTGATCCCATGACAAAGCTAGGTAAATGTGGACAGAGTTGCTAAGATGCCCTTTAATGGCGAAGAAGCGAGTATCGTATTTCGAACGATAATTTTTATCGATTCAATATCTTTTATCGATTATATATCTTTTCGTTATTTAAATCAAAAATGGTGCCGTTAAATATTTCGTGATGCTAACGTAAAGTATCAAATTTGAGAAAATAGATTAAAAAATTATTAAATTGAATCGTTATTTCATTTAGAATCTTGATTTATATATCTATAACATATTTGTGAATTTCTGTTTTTTCTGTAGAGACACAATTTTAAATAAAACAAAATAGTGATACTTACCAAAGTTTCAAATTACTTAAATAATTCATTATTTTCTCAAATGATAAAGCGATTTAAATAGATAATTACTTCGATCAAGTTAATAATTATTAGTGTATTAGTTATGAGATAATTATATATGAATAAATGTTATAGTAATGCCAAACTATATAATATTTTGCTCTAAGTAAAGGATTTAACTTGACAAAGACGCGATCGTTCATTCAGCAATAGAGATACAAAAGAGGTTAGATGTGATGAGAGAATCTTAGCAAGGTTAATATATTTAAAGAATGATCATAATCACATCGTGTTCCGGATAATATCAGCATTTATCTCAATGCTAGTGACATGTTGTAATGATTCATTACATGCTCGTGTTACAATCCCCCTTCTCTCGGTGAAAGAGAATTATCTCATAAAATAAACGTTATCTAAAAAACAAATATATCTAATCTTAAGTGTTTGTTACGCTATGAATATATTGTAGTGCGACTAAAGTTCTCTAACGCTAAAAATTAACATTTCTTCCGTTTCCATATGTAATCGTTGAGAAATCCATCGAAGAGATCCGTCGACACGTGAAACCTTCGAGTAGAAAGCTGCTCGCAAACAAACGAGCGCGTGTAGTAGAAATTGATTAATTCTCACTGGATGGTATATAATGGTATGATCGCGATAAATTCAAGTGGAAACGATTTTTTCTTTTTTCACTCGGCCACGATTATTGCACAGTGGGAAAGCGGACCGCTAATAAAGACGTTGCGCAAAGAACTTTTTGCATAATACACGGCGTATCGCGTGGGCATTCGTGTACAACTTGCATTCGGATTTCCACGTGTAGCAGAATACGGCTACGTGTGATGTTGTAACATAGTATGCACACTCTAGTTTTCGAATTTCTATAATCTTACGGAACATCTAACTGACATTTCAGAAATATGTAACGTATATATACCGGTTTTATCCATTGTATCGCAAGATTTCGCATTGCATACATTGTCGATTGTTTCAATCTTCTTTCTTTCTCTTACCTTTTTTTTTTTTTTACATTTGTTTTTATTAATGAAAATAAAATCGTTATAACTGCAAACATTACCAATCAAAACGAATGTAAAATAAAGAATTGCTCGTAAAGTTTGTTCAAGCTGTTAGTCGTTAAAGCAAAATTAAAACCTTGCTGTATTATGTAGTTTTTTGCCAATGTTTACATTTTCGACGTTAATTTAATTACTTTCGAAAATGTAATTCCCTGAATACATGTGTTTTCCTTTGCGCATCGCGTGCACCCTACTCTAATTGAATTAGAACAGTATTTTTGGTAGGCTTTTTCGATCACCATTGGGGTAATTTCATCCCTTGGTTGTCTTTGCTGAAGAAGTCTCCTGTTTTGACAATATCGAATGACTAGTAACGCGACACGCCGTTGATATCGACGTAAACAAGCCAAAGAGATGCCAAGAAGTTTCTTAGACTTTATTTTCTAGTCTATTTTTTTTTATTTTTTTTTTCTTCTTTCCTTTCTCGTATTGTATTCATTTTCTTGGAAGAAGCAAGAAATTTAAGTGAAATAGTATTAAAATACGTTCGTCGATAACGATGTTATCTATTCCTCATTCGTGTTAATTTTCTCTATTTATGAATTATTTACTAATTTATTTAATTTCATACAAGCATAAACGAAGAATCCGAATATGCAACTAATTAATATATTTCTTTTCTTTTGTTTTTATATGCGCGTACGCGTGTATTTTATATTAGTATGACTATACAACAATTAGAAACCTAGTTTTATCATATTACTCATGCACGATGACTCATTTCTACCTTGATGGTAGCAAGTTAATCTTGACGATACATTCGTGTATCAGTGTCACAAATTCACTGATCTAAGTGTGAAGATATTATATATTTATATTGTATATGTGATTAATTCTGAAGAAGTCAGAAATTTCTCTATAATAAATATTTTTCCTAAAATTTCTTAATTTTCTAATTTACATCACAAGTTCGATAGATTCATCTACATATAATCAGATACATTATTCTAGAAAATATTTATCTTGAGAGTTCAAATAATAATGTATATATCTCATCGTTTCAAAGTTTCTCACTTTTTTTTTTAATAAAAAATGCAGTTTATGATTATAATTAAGATTAAATATAATTAAAATAAATATATTAAATAACAATACGTTTATAATATTCCGTACCAGTTTCATTGAGAAGACGATAAACATTTTGAAATATATTTGCATTCTTAAAATGGTCATGTCTTAAAACGGAACAAACAATGTTCAACATTGAATAGAATTGCTTTTTCGTGGCAGAATCGAAACAATGAGAAATTAATTTTTCCATTTATCTAATCGATTGAAAATTATAATAGGTAAAAAACATACTGAGAATGATTTTTTGAAAAAGAAATCCAATCGAAGGTAGACGATAAGAATTTCAAATCGAAAATGGACAAGTTTGGCTCGGACACCAGTATTATCTTCTGAGCGTCACGTAACAGGTTTTGAATTTCGTCCCGGTACATGTAGACATTCGACCACCCTCACGTACCTGTAAACGCGCGTCCACAATATTATGTTAACGTTGTGAAAGAGAAAGAGAAGAAGATACAGAAAGAGTAGAGTAAAGGAAAGAAGTGATGGAGAAGAGGAAAGAGTGGGAGAAGGAAAGGAGAAAGGGGGAGAGAAAGAGTCGACCGACCGATACGCCACAATGGCGGAGAGTTTCGGAGCAGGCAAGGCAGGCACAACGTGAGTCAGCCTCGTGGTAGGGAGTAGCGAGGTTAGTGCATTCCCCCTTAGTCCTTTACTCACACTACGCCGATCACGAGAGCGCGTTGTTTTCCTCCGAGAACTTGGGCCACGGGGCGAACTCGGTTCAGTATCAGTGTAGCGATCGCGTCGAAGGTAGTAGGACGCGAAGAAGCGTGGTAACATCTCTCTTTCTCTTTCTTCTTTTCTCCATTCTTCACTCTCTTAACTCTTTTTCCTTATTATTTATCTCTTTTTCACTATTTTCCCCTCTGTTTACTGTTTTGCTCGCTCAAACCTAAGATAAGAACGTCACGTATATATGTTTTATCCTTGTTTCGTAATGAGAAGCTAATATCGTATCCTCTTCATCTTTCTTCCCGTTGTTTCCTCTCTGTCGTTTTTCCATATGCAGAGAGTTAAGATATGATTGGGGTAGACGTACTACTGTGATCGATGTGTTACGCGTGATTTCCAATCGATGTGCGAGATCGACTTTGTCTCACCTCACCTCGAAACTTTCCTATCGAGTTCTCGTCTCACGTTCGTTTGTTCGCTTTCGCGAGTGCGTCTCCACCGTGCGTGTGCTTCCTCAGCCATTTGTGTGTGCGCGCACTCTTACTTCTCCGTAATTCGTGGCGGCAGCGACTAAGTGCCTGTTGACTACTCGTTAGTCGCCCCTGGAATCTTCGTCGGGCACTGGTACGGAAGTGAGAGCCGGCTCAAAGCGCAATCGTTTTTCTCCGCTTTGCGAAAGAAACACGGTGATTTCTTGAATAGGTTATGTCGCGCGTGCCAATCTCTGTTTCTCGTTACAGCTCGCACACGTGAATCGCGAGTTGTGTATACATTTGTGTCGTGCTGTGTTTTTTAAGATGATTCCTGTCAGCTTGAAGGTCGAAGTGATATTCGATACCAAAGCTTGGACGTTTTCGTTCTTTGTGATTTTATTCTGACCCCAACTATTGAATTATCTGAGTATATATAAAAAATGCGAATATCATGGTATTTAGTGCAAACTAATGTATTGATTTTATTTACGTAATTATCAGACAGTTTTCTGCTAACATTTGAGGTTCGTTGGGTTTTTGATTTTTTGTATATATATATATATATATATATGTCTTACAA